AAGATGGATGGTGCAAAGGTTGTTTCAACACCGCTAGCTGCCTCGGACAAGTTGTTACCTGCACCGTCTAGTTCTACATCGGTTGATGTCACTCAGTTTCGGCGTCTCCTCGGCTTGTTGCAGTACCTGGTCATCACTAGGCCAGATATATCCTATGCGGTCAATCGTCTTTCACAGTTCATGCACTCGCCTACAGAGCTGCACTGGCAGGCTGCTAAATGGTTGCTTCGGTATTTGAAGGGCACAGTCTGTCATGGCTTGTTTCTCCAATTTCGTTCCAAGATTGGAGTTTCCGACGGATCCTCAATCTTGCGGGGGCGTGTTAAAGATATGTGTGGCTGATATCTTTTGTTATTATATTTAGTCCTAGTCTAGCTCCTGTATAATAGTTGTTAGGCTAGTTGTTGTAACTGATAGCTATCTTTTCTCTTTGTAAGGCTATTTATAGCTGCATGTAGTTTCATTAATAAATCACTTATTCATAATCTTTACACTTGAACACCAAAGATTGGAAGTTCCTACGCTCACGTTTGCAAAGTTGAAGGACATTACACCCCGTCTCGCGCTCCTGGATATCGCTGGTTACTGCCTTGATTGTGCATGACGAGTCGCTTTCGACGATAAGCTTCCTCACTCCCCTAGTCGCTGCCATCCGAAGGCCATGGAGCATTGCCCACCTTTCCGCTAGATTAGCTGAGCAAGATCCAATATTAAACGTGAATCCGTGGACCTATTCTCCTCGGTGGTCTCGAAGAACCCCACCACAACCCGCCTTCAACCCCACGTCTTTGGAGCAGCCGTCTACGTTTAGCTTCAACCATCCATCCTCCGGCTTCACCCACGCCATTAACGCCACCCCAGGAGTGAGGCCTTCCGGCTATGGTGACTACTTCTTCTGGTATGCCGCTCGAATCTTGTCCCTTTGAATGATGATCCATTCCTTCCGCTGGGCGAGGTTTATGCTCTTGTTTGCGAAGATTCTATCATTGCGCCACCGCCAGCACCACCAAAGGCATAGGCCAAAGGTGACCGCCGGTCTTCGTCGAAGCCTGCCGTCCTGGCTGCCCGGAGGTTTATCGACAACCATTCGCTCCATGCTTTAGGTTGCAGCATCTGAGCAACTCCCCGAGGCATGAACATCTCCCAAAGCCCAGCCACCTCCGGGCATCTTCTAAATATGTGATCCAACGACTCTGGCGTATCTGCACAACAAGAACACATCCGGTCAGTTGTAAAGTGACGCTTAAAACGTTCCTCATTAGTCATTAGTTTCCCTTGCTTGGCCAACCACAAGAAGTGGTTCACTTAATTCCGAATTCCATCCCCATCCATCCTCCGCGTCCGCATCTTCTAAAAGAACGAAAGTGTGGCTCAGGGAAAAAAAGCATCGTCTATTAAGTGACGTAGTATACCATTTATGTACTAGTGATTAGGGGCGAAATTTGCAATTTTAGTATAACTCAGGGACAAAAAGTGCAACGTCAATGATAACTTAGGAACGAAAAGTGAGCATGACCAACACTCCGGGACGAATTCTACAATTACTCTATCACTCAGGGACGAAAAGTGCAACGCCAATGATAACTTAGGAACGAAAAGTGAGCATGACCAACACTCAGGGACGAATTCTACAATTACCGTATAACTTAGGGACGAAAACTGCAATTTTCCCTTATTTTAACGTAAAATAACATTTGATGGAGATTTTGATGTTTTGGTGTAATGGATTGGAGATGAATAAAATTTAGTGAAGAAAATATTCTCTTTGATGTGACATTTGGTGGAGATAATTTTTGATATTTTGATGTTAAATGGGTTGGAGATGCAACCATCCATAATGGCTAGGGGTATATATCCCATCAAAACAAAATCTCCAAGACTCAAATTGTAATTTGGTTGGGGTAAATCACTATGCATATTAGATGACTAAGAATGACTCATCTTTTATCTTGGGGTTGTTAAATAATTTTTCATTCTTCCAAAAGGTTGAACCCCAACCCGACAGAACATTTGGGAGGTTGTAAATTGTGGTGATTCAACTGAACATGAACCATAGAGACTGCGCACAAGGAGCCCCCCTCACTTTGAGAGGTTGCCCCCACACTACCGCGGGTGAGACTCGATCCCTGGTCATTCTTCCAAAGTTTCACCTCTATGACCAGTTGAGCTACCCATGCAGGCGTTAAATAATTTTTCATGACCTCTCATTTGGGAGTCACTTTGTACCACTAGACCACAAAGTCATGAATATTCTTCTCGAATTTAATTGACTTAAAATAATTTCAATTTATATAAATTTTTTTTATTGCTTTTACCCCTTCTAATTAAGGAAAAAATGAATTTCAATTTTGAGTTCAATTATTGCACTTGCATAGTGCATACGCAATATGAGTATTAAACCCGTATTAATTATCTTGCCGGCCGGCACGTCCCCCATACGTGAACATGCATGAATCTTTGCAACTTTTTTTTTTTTTTTTTTTTGTTTAAAATTAAAAACAGGATTATTAGGAAAGTTATTGATGTGTAGTACGGAGTATATATAATGATGTTGAATTGTGTGCTGGTTCTTTTTTTTTTTTTTTTTTTGAAAGCAAGATGAGAATTCATTAATTCAAGTTGAAATGTAAACACATAATGCATCAGAGATAAAGTGAGGAAGAATTAATGTTAGATATATTAAATATAATATATCTATATACCGTATACCTGAAGGGGAGAGGAATAAAAAAATATATGAACAATCAATTGAGACACTCTTTGATTGAATGAATTTTAATTCATGAATTACAATGAAAATTGACATGCTATTTATAGCAATATTTCTAACTAATTTTCTTAAAATAACTACTAAACATAAACCCATCGTCATAGTAACGTGACTAACCACAAAGTTGAAGCATGTGCTCCATCTCAACTAAAAGTCTAAGCTGATAATTGGATTGCACATTAATAGTTATATGCTCACAGTTAAGACCGAGACATTTGACTCAAAGTTAGGAGTTCACCGTAATTTTGTGTAAAATCTTATAACTGTCTTAAAAAAACCCTACTCATAAAAAAACTCTACTTTTGAGTTTTGAGTACTATTGACCATGTTACAATATAGTATTTGACCAAACACACTTTTTTAACCTACTGAAGCACAGAGAGTCAATGCCCTACTGAAGTTCGAATTTGCGACCTCCCATTTGGGAGAGTCACAGTTATGTCGCTTGATCACAAAGTCTTTGACAAAAAAATTTATGCCTATAGAGTACTTAGTTATGAGTTAGTATCATGTTATCCATAATGATAATTGGACTCCAGATATATTGAGATTTGTTGGGGTAAGTTCCCGGCAAATTATACCATGGACCACGATCTATCTTGAATTGTGGACTTTAATGTAAAAATAACCTTCAAATTTTGTACCTATAGTTGACATATTTTATACTTGCATTTAATTGTTTCTATATGTACATGTAAACATATTAAAAGCACATCACATATCACATGGTAATTACAGACAAACTGTTAATTTAGGTATAAAAATATGTTAATTGCAGACAAATAATATGTTAACCAACATTTTATGTGTTTGCAGTTAATAATTTGCCTACATTAATTACATATCTTTCATGGATACTAATTTTTCAAATCTAATATTTAAGGATTTTTTCCTTTTGCTATTTTCGTGTTTTTTTTTTTTTTTTGTTTTTTGTTTTTGTTTTTTGTTTTTTTTTTTTGTTTTTTTTTTGTTTTTTTTTTTTTTTTGTAGTGGTATTGCTTAGCAGCTAATTGTCACATTTGGTAGGCAGGAGCTAGACTTGGTTCTCTAAATCTTTGCCTCACTCTTATCCATTTTGCTATAAAGGATGATCAATTGTTTTTTTTTTTTTTTTTTTTTTTTAGATCAATTGTTAGTTAAACATTGAAAAATGCTACACATGATTTACACATGCATGTATGGATGGTTCAATTTCTTAGATCAACTATTGTTCACCCCGTTGCCTATAAATACCCTTTTCTCTTCTTCAACTTCTCACCACTCCTCTCTCTCTCTATAATACATATAATCCATCATCAGGGACGGAGCCAGAAAACTTAAGTTAGGGGACCGATATAGTAGAGAAAATTTACAATGTTAGTCGACATTATAATTAACCTCACCATATTATTATATATACCATACATTATTGTGATTATTATTAATAATGATTTCTAATTATAGTATATGTAATAAAGTATGAAATAAATAATTATATAAGTACGATCGACACAGCTGTTGATCGTTACTTTAGAAAATTTTCACTTAACACAAAATATAATAATAACAATAACAACAACATTTATTTAAATATAGATTGTCACATAACATCAAATAAAAAGTTTTGTCATCATCAAATTTTTTCATAATTAACTTATATTCATTTTACTGTTAACTGAATATTTCAAAATTTGAGAGATAAAAGACAAAAATCAAGACGAATTAAATAATCAATATTAATTTTTGTCTATTTCAAAACTAATCATTTAAACTAGCAAATGTACATCTTAAAAATGTAAATAAATAATTAAAACACACAATAAATCACTAATTAATTAATCAACATATATAACTAATAAAACCAAAGCATATATCTCAAATTTGGAGATTTTTTTTTTAAATTAAAATGTATACTTGATGTCATTCTTTATTAAAATCTTGATTAAAAAAATTAGATAATAAAGAAAAATGGTCACTTTAATTATTTGATTTATTTTTATATATTTAATAAATTGAAACTTTAATATATATATTTTGAGTTCATTTAATATAAACTTAATTGTTTAAAAAACAAATTAAAGGGGGGCAAAAGTGTATTTTATCCCTACTATATCAATATATACATACATATTTACTAAAAAATTTAAGGTGAGGGTAAGGGTGGGATGGGGTGGGGGGGGGGGGGGGGGGGCAGGGCTCTCCTACCCCCTTAAGTAGATCCGTCCCTGTCCATCATCATATACATACAAACATGGCAGTGTGCAAACTAATTTTTTCCCCACTTGTCTTCATCTTTATGTTCGTAACAACAGTAACATGTACATTAGCACCCAATGCTAGGTACAACATTCAAAGCTATGGAGCAAAACCCGATGGCAAGACTGACTCCACCAAGGCTTTTCTGGCGGCATGGGCGGCGGCGTGTGCCTCCACTGCTCCGGCCACCATTTACATGCCGGCAGGAAGGTTCTTGGTTGGGAGTGTGAGTTTCGGGAGGCAGACATGCAAGAGCAATGTCATTTCGATTCAAATGGATGGCACACTTGTGGCTCCATCGGACTACAATGTGATTGGAAAGGATGATAATTGGATCAAATTCGAAAGGGTGACCGGAGTTTCCATTGTCGGCGGAACCCTAGACGCTCAGGGCGCTCCTCTTTGGTCCTGCAAAAATTTCGGCAAGAGTTGTCCGGACGTATTTTTTTTATTTTTTTTCTAACTTTTAGTAAATATATACGTACATACAGACATTGGCGTTTTACAACTCAAACAACATTGTTGTCAACGGACTAAGTTCAAAAAATAGTCAGAAATTTCACATTCGCATTGACAGCTGCCATAACGCCAAGTTGCAAAGAGTGAAGATCTCAGCTCCCGGAAATAGCCCCAACACCGACGGAATCCACGTGCAATCGTCGTCAGGTGTAACAATCTTGAATTCCCACATCGGCACCGGCGACGACTGTATCTCCATGGGCCTCGGCAACTCCAACTTGTGGATTGAAAACATCGCGTGCGGCCCGGTCACGGAATCAGGTCGGTCAAATTACAAACATCCTTAAACAAACAATCACTGCTGGAAATTATGAAATTTCCGACCACTTGAAATTGATCTTAAATCAAGTCAAAAGCCTTGTTCCGACCACTTTTGGTATTTGGAAAAACATTTATTGCTATTTTTACCACTTTTTTACTTTCAACTTAATTTAAGATCACTTTCAGGTGGTCGAAAATTGCACAATTTCTAGCAGTGAATTTGATTCCATTGCGGCCTTTACTTAAGCCGTCTTTGTTATAGGTCTTTGTGAGCCCGCATCATTGGGAGTTTAGGTTGGGAAGAGCAAGGTTGGAGTACAAAATATGACAGTTAAAACCGCTACGTTTACCGGCACTAAAAATGGGTTGAGGATCAAAACGTAGACAAGGCCAAGCAACGGGTTTGTGAGAAATATTGTTTTCCAACATGCAGTCATGTCTGACGTATAAAACCCCATCATCATCGATCAAAATTACTGTCCTAACGACCAAAGTTGTCCTCATCAGGTCGATTATATTCCTAGTTCCACCACCATCTTCAAAACCTTAAAATCAACGAAAACACCAAAAATTAAATTAATTAAATCTCCTTTTCCATATATAATTAACGTTAATGTTAATTAACATTTTTTTTGTTGGTTAATTATCTTAGGGCTCTGGTGTGAAGATAAGCAACATAAAGTACCGGGACATACATGGAACATCAGCTACGGAAGTTGCGATGACGTTTGACTGCAGCAAGACAGAACCCTACAATGGTATAACGTTGGACAATGTAAACTAGTGGGACGTCTTCCGGTTTAGTTACGCCGGCGAGCTGCCTCTAGGCTGCTAAAAATATGCTGCTTTAATTTTTAGATTATTATATTGAAGTAATATATCTATAATTAATTTGCTGCTTATTAGTTGAGGCTGTTGAATTGGCGTCTGATTTGGTCTTCCTACAAATGTATACCATAATCACCATAATACTATATACACTTTTGTCTTTTTGAATGATTGTGTAAGATATATTAAATATAATATATTTAATATAATATATATTAAATATAATATAATATATCTATAATACATATTAAATATAATATATTTATATATTATATTTATATATATTGAGAAGAGAGAGAGGAATGAATAAAATGTTTTACTTGATGATTAATGAATGAACAATAGCAACCTATTTATACTAAAGGATGACCACAAATAAAGCTAAAAATTAGGATTAATGCTTCATGTAATGCTAATCCATGCTCCATGTTCTGCAGACCCACTACCACACTTCAATGGCTTGTTAACAAACTAACTCATTATTAATTAGATGGTTTAACAATTATAATAATATTATTATTATAACATTGCCTCCTTTAAACCAAGTTAGATATATTGGTCATCCCAATTTCCTTCTTCAATTTAAGAAATGTCTTCGTCTTCAAGTTGGATATACTAATTTGTATTTCGTTCTGTAAACCCACTTTACTCTAATTGGCTTCTTCCCAGGAGGTAAATCTGTTAACTCCCAGGTACCATTCTTTTCAATGGCACGTATCTCCTCATCCATCGCCTTAAGCCAATGAGTTTCTGTAGCAGCCTCCTCAAAAGTTAAAGGATCACAAGCTGCAAAGAGAGCAAATTAAATAATCTCTTCATCAGACAGGTCATTATCATGACCCAAAACATAATCTTGCAAGCGAGCTGGTAAGTGGCGCTCGCGCTGAGATCGTCGAACTGACGATTCTGGCTGTGAAGGAGACTGGACATTATCTGGAATCAGTTGCTCATCAACAATATTTTCAACAACAGGAATAACAACTGAACTTTCATCTTTAGCTAACCAATCCCAGGCACCATATTCATCAAAAGTGACATCACGACTTATAACAACCTTTTTAGTTTCAGGATTGTATAGTTTATAAGCCTTTGAAGCGTCACTATAACCAATGAATATGCACTTCTCACCTTTATCATCCAACTTCTTTCTCAATGGATCCGGCACATGTGCATATGCCAAACATCCAAAAAACTTGAGATATTTGATAGAGGGTTTTCTCCCACTCCAAGCTTCTTCGGGTGTCTTATCACGGACACTTTTAGTTGGACACCTATTCAACACATAGACAGCACAAGCAACAGCTTCTGCCCAAAAAGGTTTAGGCAGATTCTTGGATTTCAACATGCACCTCACCATATCCATGATAGATCTATTCTTCCTCTCAGCCACTCCATTTTGTTGTGGAGTGTATCTAGTTGTCATTTGGTGCTGAATACCCTTTTCTTTCAGAAAATCATCACAGGCAATATATTCTGTACCTCTATCAGTTCTCAAGATTTTAATCTCATAACCACTTTGCTTCTCAACAAAAGCCTTAAATTGTTTGAAAACATCACATGCTTCAGACTTTTGCTTCAGAAAGTAAACCCATGTTTTTCTACTGAAATCATCAATGAAAGTAGTAAAGTACTTACAACCTCCATGTGAGGGAACCTCCAACGAACACAAGTCTGAATGAATAATCTCCAACTGTTTTGTGGCTCTCCTTGACTTGCCCACAGGGAATGGATCTCTATGCTTCTTCCCAATCACACAAATCTCATATATACGATCAAGGACATTCACAACAGGTAAATCAGAAACAAGTTCCTTTCTCGCAAGATAGTGTAATCCAGAGAAATGGAAATGCCCATATCGCATATGCCATAACCAATTTTCATCACAAACTTCAGAATTAAAGCAAGCAAGGAGAGTATGCTTAATTTTCAAAGGAAATAGTCGATTTTGAGACATATTTACCTTTGCAATCAAAACTCCTTTAGCATCTGCAATGGTACAACACCCCTGAGCAATATGTATCTTATATCCTTTTTCTGACAACTGACCCATACTCAACAAATTTTGGTGTAGTTCAGGAATATAGAACACATCGGATATAAAATTGTGAGTACCATCCTTCAACTGAATAGAGATTTTACCTTTTCCCAAAATTGACGCCTTTGACTTATTGCCAAATGTCACTTCAGACCGAACTGATTCATCCAGTTCAGAAAACAATTCTTTCTTCCCACACATATGGTTACTACACCCAGTATCCAAGAACCATATGTTCTTATCTGCAGAAAAACTATCACTGGCCAAAAGTAAGGTTTCAGAACTCTCACCAGACTTTCCAGCAGTGTTTTCAGCAATGTTTGCTTGATTTCCACGATTGTTGTCCTCATTATACCAACAATCTGCAATCTTGTGCCCATACTTGCCACAATTGTAGCAATGAAATGGAAATTTACCTTATTTGGTATTACCTCCACCTCTTCCTTGGTTGGAGTTACCACGACCTCCTCCTTGGTTGAAGTTACCACGGCCTCTGCCACTAGATCCTCCTCTTCCTCTTCCACAACCTCTACCAGATCCTCCACCTCTTTGATTAGTGCCAGTCACATTAAGGGTGACTTGACTCTTCAAAGCTTCTTCAGCTAGTGGTTCCGATTTTGACGCAATTCTGTCAATATGACTTTCTATCATACCTTTCAGCTCTGCAATTGATAAGAGCTCGGTTGTGTGTGACTCTGTTATTGAAGCCACCACATGGTCATACTTCATCGGCATAGTTCGAAGAACTTTTTCAACCACTGCACCATCTTCAATTGTATCTCCGTATAACCTCATCTTATTCACCATATCAATAAGACGAGTGAAATACGTATCTACTGTTTCTGTAGAGGTCATCTCACAATTATCGTACAACCTTCTCAACGACTGCAACTTAGACTTCTGCGCCCGATCGACTCCTTTGTGTGACACCTTTAAGATGTCCCAAGCTTGTTTTGCTGTTTGAGCATGAGCTAATTGCCCAAAAATGGAATAATGAACACCTTGGTGAATCTGACCCAAGGCCAATTTATCTCGCCGTATAGCGCCTGCATCAGCTCCTTCGGGTAGACCGGGATCAACAAAGCTCCAAAGATTTTGAGCTTGCAAATGTGTGGACATCATAATTTGCCAATAATTGTAATCGAGTTTCCCGTCCAATTTGGGACCCGACCATACAATATTGAAATTTGTAGTCATATTTCACTACGGGAAATATCTCGGGGTTGAAAGATTGACTGACTCTGATACCAAATGTAAGATATATTAAATATAATATATTTAATATAATATATCTATAATATATCTATATATTATATTTATATATATTGAGAAGAGAGAGAGAGGAATGAATAAAATGTTTTACTTGATGATTAATGAATGAACAATAGCAACCTATTTATACTAAAGGATAATCACAAATAAAGCTAACAATTAGGATTAATGCTCCATGTAATGCTAATCCATGCTCCATGTTCTGCAAATCCACTACCACACTTCAATTGCTTGTTAACAAACTAACTCATTATTAATTACTTGGTTTAACAATTATAATAATAATATTATTATAACATTGCGTCCTTTAAACCAAGTTGGATATATTGGTCATCCCAATTTCCTTCTTCAATTTAAGAAATGTCTGATACCAAATGTAAGATATATTAAATATAATATATTTAATATAATATATATTAAATATAATATAATATATCTTCTCAATATATATAAATATAATATATAGATATATTATATTTAATATATATTATAGATATATTATATTATATTTAATATATATTATATTAAATATATTATATTTAATATATCTTGCAGATTGGAAATTTGAATTGGTAATATGAATTTATTTTGCTGCAAAATCTTATATATGTCACCTAATTGGCTAATTCACATCGATCATATCGTCTCTTCATCAAAATCCCAAAAATAAATTATTTATCATTTATTATTATATAATTTATGTGTATGTAATTTCTTACTGTAAAATAATATTATTGGTTACGTAAAATGATTAGTAGTGGAAATGAGAGTGATTTAGGCATAAAAGAGAATTGAAAATAATATAATAATATATTTAAGAATGAAATGCACATATGGCCGAGGCGCTAGCATGCAAGGAGGCGCTATCTTGGCTCAGGGATCGGGATATCATGGAGGTGGATATTTTCACAGACTGCTTGGAGTTACGGAATGCTCTACACTCAAGCCCAACGGCTAACTATTCTTATTTTGGGATTATTGTGGACCAATGTAGGACAGATTCTAGATCTCTTAATTTTTATGCTCATACTTTAGCTTCGTTAGCTTTTGATCAGGAACAATCTATGTACTGGGACTCTGTCCCTCCTGACTCTATTATTCAATTTATCCATTAATATACCACTATTAAACCTTTCAAAAATGAATGAAAAGCCCATACATGCACGGGAGGAAATAGATTTTTTGAAATAAAATTAAGTATAATCATTCCCTTGGCCTGTTTGTTAAATGGTTGTTAGCTAATAACAGTTAGTTGATTGGGTTAGAGGGTATGAGTAGTTGGTAACATAAGCTTATTGTAGAAAGGTGTTTGATAAATTAGCTATTTGGTATAATTTTTTATTCAAAAAGCTAATTGAAAAAGTTACTTTAAGTAGTTTTTGGATTTTAACATTTTAGAGTTACAAAAAACTGATTAACCAAACTCTTATATTGGTTTTTAACTAAGTCAAAAACTAATAGTGGTCAAATAAGTCAAAATTGGCTGATAATCTAACTATTTTACCAAACAAGGCCCTTGTATTGTTAGTGTAATTAGTGTAATTTTAGTATGTTAATTATTTCCCCTTGTTCCCTCTCCATAATACTTCAAGCTTTCTCTAGGGAGTTCAAGTATATAAGGGAAGGAAATGAAAGCTAGCAAAGCAATGTGGGACTACTTAACAAGTTCCCACTTGAATCCTTGCTTTGAATGTTTTGCGCTGGGAATGTGCTAAGGCTGTAAGAGGATGATGATCAGTATAAATGCTGCTTCATTCTTCTTCTTTAGCTACACGGATTTAAACACAAACGCTGCACACCTCCCTTGGTCCTAAAATTGAGCTATTATTGTTCCTGTGCCGTCAGTCGAAGGTATAACGATACCCTGGTCGTTAAATATCTTTAAGATAGTGTTGCCAAACACGACACAGAACGCTGCCGGTTTCCTGTCCCGAAGCAACAACGCATCGCAAATATCCATTTCAGGTATTCATTGCTGTTAATTTACACAACACTTGGAGCTCTCATATGCTCAAAGTGTGAAATTGAAGTTTGTCATGACTCAAATATGGTTAAGAGCCAGAAGCTTGATCGAAAGGTTTCTTATCCATTACGGTCCTATCTAAAGTTGTAATAGATGATTAATTCAATAGGGGTATTTGCATGACAAAATTACAACGATTATAACCTAGGGTATTAATCTAGTGAAGCGACATGGTATGGATTTTATTTTGCAAAAAACCTAGGGTATTCCTCTTCTTTGTTGATACTTCATGCATGTTTTCCTCGTCTTGCTGGTATCATGGAGGGCTCCGGGCCTTCCTCTTTCGTAGCCAACATCTCCATGGTAGATCTGGATGAGGACGAGGTCGTTCAGCAGATTGCGAATATCTGGTGTGATGAAGAAAAACCAAGACAACTGTACATTGTCCTGATCAGGTAACTAAAATACCATTCTCTAAATGTTATCTTTCAAGGAACACATTGAAGAATAAATGAGAATTAAAAAGAAGTAATAAAAGTGGCAATCAGTGAAGAAAGTTTCATGTTATAATGTTTACTGTCTGTATTCATGGGTTGGTCCGCGGAGAGAACATGGAACATGGACATGAATCTAATACTGGTCATGTTACATCTCCTGTTTGTTTAAAAAGAAATACTCCATATAAATAGGAAACTAGAATTCAAATGGATAAATATATATATATATATATATATATATATATATATATATATATATATATATATATATATTGTCTCGTGCGATGCACGGCTAAATATTAAAAATTTATTTGTAATGTTATAACGAATTAAAAATGACCTAAATTATTTTGAAGTGTTTTATGACAAAAGTATTTGAAGTACAAAAAAAAAAAAAAAAAAAAAAAAAAAAAAACATGAATAACAATTTAAATTTTAAAAAAAAATGTTATTATTTGTCCATCACAAAATATTACACATTATTAAACACTTAATGGTAAACAATGGTTGAATTTGAAATAATAAATTTAGTTATATAGCTTACATATTGAAATAAAATTTGTAAATAAAAGAAAGAATATGTAATTAAGAGATTTTTTAAAAAGAAGAATAAATTATTAGAAACTTCATGATAAACAACGTTAGTAGTTTAAGTACTAACTTTATTTGAATAACTACATATCAATATTTTTAGTCCTTTGGTTAGTGTTTAATGGTGTCATCATGTGTTTCCATTAGTGGATTATTAGTTTCATGTTAGTGCTCTGCTTAAACAAACTTCAAGTAATGTTCTTTACTTCTTTAGTCACGTGTTTTCTTCATTCAGCCTGCAAGAAACAAAATAATGTTTTTCCTCTCTCGTTTTTGAGTGTCTTTTCCTCTCTCCTTGTGAGTGTCTTTTGAGTGTTTCCTAGTTTCTTTTCAGTTGCCGATCATGGAGAAAGGTGATTCGAGTGGTTTGTCAGAGGCATGTGAGGCCTTGGCGATAGTTGATGATGAGGACGGAGTGATAGTTGAGATTGAGGATACCAAGATACCGAGTTATGATTTTCGATTTGCGGCCGTGGGGAGGGTGGTGACGGAGCGCCTGATAAAACTTGTTGTTTTCAGAGACGTGATGGCTACTGCTTGGCGGCCAATGAAAGGGGTTATGGTTCGTGAACTGAGTCAAAACAGATTCATCTTCCTCTTCTACTGTGAGAGGGATATCTCACGAGTTTTAAGTGATGAGCCTTGGACTTTTGATTAGAATTTGGTCCTTCTTCGACGCATGATGGGGGGAGAAGATCCAATGGCAGTCGCTCTGGACACGGCTTCGTTCTGGATCCAAGTTCATAATCTCCCCAGAGGCTTCATGTCTAAGAGAGTGGCTAAGGTGGTGGGGAACCATGTGGGGGAGTTCGAGATGTCTGACAAGCGAAACTTTGAAGGGGGTGAGCGTGCGTTTATGCGGGTTAGAACGAAACTGGATTTTACAAAACCGTTGAAAGCATAAATGAAGATGAAGAAGCCGGATGGTGATTGGTTCTGGCTTGACCTTCGATACGAACGACTTCCATCCTTTTGCTTCAAGTGTGGAGTCATTGGCCATGCCGACAAATTCTGTCCAGTCGTAGCTGATAAACTAGTCTATCAGGGTGAAAAGCTGTTTGGAGTTTGGATGAGAGCCGGTGGACGGCGGGCGGCTCCGGCGCCGGTTAACAAGTGGCTTGTGTTGGATGAGGCGGCGGTGGACGGTCAGATGATGGGTCACAAAACGGCTGAAGAGGGTAATGGTAATGATGAGGGAAATTTAATGGGGCGTCCGTTACGTAATTTAAGGAGGGAGGTGGGTCAGGCGGGTAACGAAGGGAGTGGGGTCGACAAGGGGAGTGTGGAATTAAAGGGGGTAATAAATGGGGGTGAGGAAAGTGAGGGGGTGGTTATTTTGGAGTCAAAGAGAAGAAGAACTGATACTGATACGAAAGGCACGAATGTTTCTTGGTCAAGCCCAATGACTATTGAGCAGCAAGACTCTTTTTCTTGTGAGGTAGGTCCTGGTCACCAGGCCTACCCGGCCCAATGAATCTCTTAAGTTGGAACAGCCGTGGGCTAGGAAACCCATTGGCAGTTCAGTTTCTAATGGGCTTGGTCTATCAACGACAGCCCAATATTATTTTTCTTTGTGAAACAATGGCTGATGCAAGGCGTTTGGAGCAAGTGAGAATTAAATTAAAGTTTGACAATTGTTTTGTCGTGGACTCTGATGGTAGACGTGGGGGCCTAGCTCTTTTGTGGAACTCGGGTATCGATGTCGAAGTCCGGGGTTACTCAAATCACTACATCGACTCGATTGTTACGGGCGACGATGGGGTTTCGCGATGGAGGCTCACAGGATATTACGGGAATCCGGACTGGAGTCGGCGAAGGGAATCTTGGAATCTACTCAGGTACCTATCTTCGATCAATAATCTCCTGTGGGCTCTCCTTGGGGATTTCAACGACTTGATTGGGGATTGGGAGAAGGAGGGTAGGGTTCCTCATCCGAGATGGCTTCTAAGGGGTTTTGGGGAGGCAATGAACGAAAACGGCTTGTTCGACTTTGCGTTTGGGGGATGTCAATTTACTTGGGAGAGGGGAAGGGGGACGGACAGATGGGTGAGGGAGAAGCTCGACCGTGTCTTGGTCTCGGATGGGTGGCGAGATATGTTCCTGCGAGCGAGTGCCAGGTCTCTAGACGGAAGTACGAGTGACCATTTACCAATTTTCTTAACGGTAGATGCAGGAACTCCGACCTTTTATAATAGAAGGCCTAGGTACGAAAACTGTTGGGGGCAGAATTTAGAATGTCGAGAGGTAGTAGAGAGGGAGTGGGTACGCCTTCAAGGGCTTCCTATTGGGGAGAGATTGAGTGGGTGCAGTAGGGAAGTATGGAGCTGGGGAAAGAAATAGACAGCAGGGGAGAGGGAGGCCATTCAGCGCTGTCAAGGGGAAATGGGGAGGTTGAGAGATCGGTGTGATGCAGAGAGTATACGGAATTTCGGGGAACATCAAAGTCGCTATTTTGATATTCTTCGGGATCAGAGTGATAGATTGAAACAAGGGGCGAAGGAACTATGGTATAGGGGGGAGACAACAATTCAAGATTTTTCCACAACTCTATAAATGGGAGGAGGAGGCGGAATAGAATCCGGGGGCTTCGTAACGAGGCAGGGGTGCTCATCGATGACCCACAAAAAATGGGTTAGATTATGGTGAACTATTTCTCCAATCTATTTACCTCTGCTCAAGGGGATATGGGACCGGTTCTAGCATGTTTGGCCAGGCGGGTTGATGACATTCAAAACGACATGCTTTTGCGTACTGTTACTGCGAAGGAAATGAAAGATGCCCTCTTTGCAATGCATCCAGACAAGTCTCCGGGTCCTGATGGGCTTTCCCCGGGGTTCTTCCAAACACACTGGTCCACCATCGGCCCTGAGGTAGTATCTTCGTGCCACCTTTTTATGATCACGGGTTCGCTACCTGAGTATATAAATGATACACACATTACCTTGATCCCTAAATGCAAATCCCCCGATCAAATGTCTGACTTTCGCCCTATTGCCTTGTGTAACGTTGTGTATAGAATAATTGCAAAAGTTCTGGCTACTAGGCTGCGTGTGTTATTAGATTCTATTATATCCCCAGCTCAGAGTGCGTTTATCCCGGGGAGGTCTATTGTTGACAATGTTTTGATTGCTTTTGAGTCAGCCCACTGTTTGAAACGCCAACCTGGGGATCGGGGGGGTTATGGGGCCCTAAAAGTATATATGAGTAAGGCCTATGACCGGGTTGAGTGGGATTTCTTGTGTTAGGTTCTTCTGAAAATGGGTTTCCGGGATCATTGGGTAAATTTGATGAGGTAGTGTGTGACTACTGTGCGATATTCTATCCTGGTTGAGGGAAAGGAGTGGGGGCCAGTGACACCGGGGAGGGGTTTGAGGCAGGGGGATCTGTTATCGCCATACCTTTTCATTTTGGTAGCGGAATGTTTGAGTGCCATGTTGAGGGCTCGTGAGGAGGAGGGGGTGTTGCAAGGCCTGAGGGTAGCGAGGGGTGCTCCGGCTGTTTCCCATATATTCTTTGCGGACGATTGCCTGTTTTTGTTTAGAGCAAATAGGTTTGAGGCAGAGGTCCTTCATGATGTTTTAATCGATTATGGGAGGGCAAGTGGACAGGAGGTAAATGTGGGGAAGACATCGATTGTCTTTGGCCGAAATGTACATCGGGAGGATAAGGAGGCTGTTTGCGAGTCTTTGGGGATTCGGGAACAGCTAGGGCATGGGAAATACCTGGGTTTGCCAGGTTATGTAGGAAGAAAGAAGAGGGAAATTCTGGGTTTTGTGCGAGAGAGGCTGAGGGAGCGGGTAATGCACTGGGGTAATCGATTTTTATCGAGGGGAGGGAGGGAAGTACTTCTGAAAACTGTCCTCCAGAGTATCCCAAACTATGCTATGAATGTTTTCCTCCATCCAAATGGGCTGAGTGAAGAAATAGAAAAGATTATGAACTTCTTTTGGTGGGGGTGCGAGAGAAGGGAACGAGGGGGAATAAGGTGGAGTCAGTGGAAAGATTTGTGTGTGCCAAAACAGTTTGGGGGTATGGGTTTCCGTAGAGTTCGGGAGATGAATCTTGCAATGCTGGGAAAGCAGGGGTGGGACTTTCTTAAAAAACCTGAGGCCCTGGTGACAAAAATTTTTAAAGCAAGATACTTTCCAAACTGTTCTTTTTTGGAGGCAAAAAGGGGTCCAACCCCTCTTTTGTTTGGTCTAGTATCCGGGAAACGCAAACGTTGGTGAAGGGGGGAGTTCGATGGAGGGTAGGAAATAGAGAGACAATTAGAATATGGGGCGACCCGTGGCTCCCGGATGACACAAAACCTTATGTTGAGTCCCCGCCTCTCGAGTACTTAGGGAACCCTACAGTGAACTCTCTTGAATGTGTGAATTTTAGGGAGTGGGATTGGGAAGTGTTATACGATATCTTTTGTGAGCGGAATGTAAACCTTATTCAAAGCATTCCTCTTGCAAATGGGTGTGATTGTGATTCACTCTACTGGTGGGGAGAACAAAACGAGGCTTACTCGGTTCGTAGTGCTTATAGGCTTGCTGTGGGAAACATGGGGGATGGAGAGGGGGTGATTTGGAAGGGGTTATGGAGGTTGAAGATTCCACCAAAAGTGAAATGTTTCTTTTGGAACTTGTGTACTATGCGGCTTCCGACAAAAGATGCCTTAGTGATCAAACGAGTTCCGTGTGACCCTATTTGTGTGCTGTGTGGAAAGGCAAATGAGAGCAGTATTCATTTATTTGCAAACTGTGATTTCGCTCATTGTTGTTGGACTCATTTAAATGCTGCATGGAAAATGTGTTATGCTGATTCTATCACTGTTTGGATTGAAGAAATGTGGACTGTTTTACCGGTTAAAATGCTTGAGCAGGTTGTCATGGTGACTTGGGCAATATGGGAAGTGCGTAATGGTTTGGTCTGGCAGCAGAAGCAATCTGATCCGAGGGCAATAGTGCATGCCGCCCTTCTTTATGCTCGGAATTGGAGAGGAGCGAGGGAGGCGGACGAACTGACGGTGAATAGAGCTTTGCAGATGCCTCAATTGGAGCCTCCTAGTCGGGTGCCACATGAAGTGGTACGGTTGAATATTGATGTGGCTATGGACATGAACAATTGCCAAATGGGGTTTGGGTGGAGCGCACGGGATTCGGAAGGGAGGGTGCTGGGAGTAGTAATGTTTGTTCAGAAGGGGCTGTTTTTTGTTAAGGAAGCTGAAGCAATGGGAGCAAGGGAGGCTTTAAGCTGGATTAAAGCCATGGGGTGGAATAGAGTTACGCTGGAGACGGATGCTCAGGTTGTGACGAATGCAGTTTCGGGGGGCTTGAATTTATCACCATTTGACTTAATCATCTAGGATATTCGTCAACTCCTTATTCAAATGCCGATGGTGGAATTTCGCTACGTCAATCGAACGAAAAACATGATGGCCCATCTTCTAGCAAAGAAAGCTCTTAGCTATACCGGACTGAAAAGACATGTGTTTATTGATTCTATTCCTCGTTTTATGAGTGCGGTCCTTTGTAATGACTCAACTTCAAATTAATATATTGATCTTTTATTTCAAAAAAAAAAAAAAAAAAAAAAAAAAAAAAAAAAAAAAAAAAAAAAAAAAACGTATTTGCTTCATTCAATTAATATCACATCTATCCGTTTGTTTTCTATTTTTGATCCATTTTCATTGATATAAAATCAAAGCCATTTAGTCTAGGTCGTGTCAAATATAGAATATGTTAGTGATGCTGTTTTTCAACTTCGATTTTGAATGCAAGACAATATTTTATTCCCAGTGCTCAATTAAACCATTGAACCCTTCCATTTCTTCCCTTTTGACTTAGTTAAATGGATAATAAACCATAAAAATGTCAAGTTTAGACATTACATCTGCCAAATAATTTAAAGCTCTGGAGAATATATAATCTCCAATCACCTAATAGATTTGTATATATATATTTTTTGATTTTCTGTTTACAGATTTATTTCAATACCCTATTGAGTGTTTCAACTTTAAGTTAAGGACACCACCGTATTAGATGTTGAAGATAAGTATGTAATAGTACTTTTTTATTTGATATTTGTTCCCACTTCCTTCATATAAGAGTTATTTTTTCCTACAAAATGACCACCAAGCAACATTACTCATCATCTGTCACTTTTTCAAGCATAGCATAGCATGACAACACTTTGTTTTGTCTCTTTGAACTCTGAGTTGATGAGAATTCATCAAGACACCTTTAAATTGTTGTGCTGTCATTCCTACTCAAACAATTGCTTCCAGCAACAACTCCTATGCACTTGACACAAAATCCTAAAAACACAAATACACCAAAAATAAAATTAATGTCGGAAAAAATCACAACTTCAAAGAATGAATGAGAAAAACCAACCTCATGCAAGCAAACAATTCTCCTCATTATTTTGTTCCAGTTTTGAACCTCATAGACTGCACACCCTTACATTTATGACTCAACCTTTGCCACAATACTTTCCACTGAAGAGTAATTTGGTGAATAAAGCAGACAGTGAACCTTCAATACATGGTAAATGTTAAAACTCTTTTAACAACATGATTAACGTTAAAAAAAATAAAAAAGATTAAAGACACAAGTAGTGTTACGCAATAATAATATTTAGAAATAAATATCATTTAAGTAGTTCTATGTAGGGAAGTTAACTACTTGAAGTCTAGATCCTCTCCCTGCAAATTTAAAAAAAAAAAAAAAAAAAAAAGAGTGCACTGTATCCTGTAAAACTGTCAATGGATGTCTTGTGGCAAAGAAAATTTAATATCCATCCATTAAAAAAAGTAATGCCAGAAAGAAATAGAAAAACAGTGAAGCAGGGAATAAAACTGTTAAAGTATATGACTCAACCTTTGCTGGTTTCCTCGAAAAAAAATAGAGTGCACTGTATCCTGTAAATATATACAATTGAATGTTGATGCTGCTGTTTGTATTCATAAATTCATGTATACATTAACCTAGAAAAAAAATACCTATGAATCAAGGGGCATCATATGTATGCATAACTCTGGTATTTAAAGGTGAGATGTCAACACCAACAATGTAGAGAGAGAGGAGACATTCCAAATGCCTTGCTGTATTTTCTTCTGAGTTTAGATTTGGATCTGTGATGTAAACTTGAGGTGTTTGTCTTTGAAACCAAAAGATGTATTTACAAGTAGGTGAACTTCTTCATCAGACGATTCGTTAATATGCATATTGGAAAGGCCAATCGATGCGTATTTATGCCTGGTTATTTTAGAATGTCAAGGCAATAATTAACCATTTCCATAATTAATCAGCTGTAATGAATAACTTTGGAATACCAACCATTACCATATATATATACATTAATTATTCCAGTATACAAAACATCAACGGTTCCTATTCTTCACTGTCAATGTTCTTGAGGGTATGATAGATATTTTTATTTCCCAATTAGAGTGTTACATATTTTGACACTCATCACTCCCAAGTTTGGTACTAGTAATGTTCTGCACTCTTTTCTCAAAGATGTATAATTCTGTAGGTCCCCTGTCAATTACTTTTGTTTATGCAAGGTTGATTTGGCTGTCAAAAGAAAGAGCATTCATATATCTCTCTTTGATGTACGTTTGTGTATATATTCATGCACATTCATATTGATAATGTTAACATATTACATGGCAATGAGTCCAACCTGTTCCAATCAATGATTTTCAGGGATCTTTAGTAATGATAATTTGCTTTGTGCAGGGATCTCTCAGTGGAAATGTTCCGCAATCACTTGGGAAGTTAGACAAACTCATATCATTGTGAGTGAAATTATTCCATATCGATTACTACTTTGAACACAACAATTCATTTTCATTTTTATCTTTCTTTTCTCTTAATAATAATTTTTATTTTTTGTTCACACAATGTGGACAGCAATGTGTCAAATAATTTCCTGACTGAGAAATACCTTCATATATGAACTTTCACAATAAACTATCTTTATTGTTGTTTGTTGTAGGGGTTCTAATGAGCAGACAAATGAGTACAAGTCTACTAGCATATCAGTGGATCAATATTTGCTTAGGGGAGCAAACTAAATCCAATACAGAACACTCAACTTTTCCCTCGAATCTTATTTCACTATGATTTGTTTAGTTTGTCTTTTTTTTGGTGATTGTAAATTTGTAATTTCACTTTGCTTTGTTTAGTTTGTCTTTTTTTGGTGATTGTAAATTTGCTAGGTAAGGTTTTTTGCCCTTTGGGTTGTCCTGTATTTATTGTTTTGCATATTTTATTTTATTATATTGGTTTTAAAATTTTTGGTTTGCTTCCAGGAATTTCTTACTTAAGATTTAAATTTCAAAATTTGCAAAGTTTTTTGGAACAATGTTACAATTTCGGGTTTGTCAGACCCGACCCGTCCTAAACCCTACCCGAAAGACCCGAACCCGAAAATACCCGAAGATATTCGGTTCGGTTTTCGGACTTTAAAATAGGAGGCCCGAAATATTTCGGGTGACCACTATTGGCACGGTTCACATGCAGTTCACAACATAAACATCAACATCACAGTTCGCAACGTACCTTATTCAGCCGCCACGTCTTCAGTTCGTCGATTTCGCCGATTAAAGAATCAGATTGGGGATTTAGTCGATTTTGCACTGCAGTCGTCGAAGAATTCAGACTTGGAGTCGAACAATAGGGTTTGGGTGGAATTTAGGGGGAATTTGGACAATAGGTCACGACTAATTAAGTTATTATTATTTTTTATTTAATTAAGCTGATATGGATTCCACGTCACTAATAAATAAGGCCAAATCAGATGCAAACCGGTGCCATGTCATATTTATTACCGGATAACCTACAAAAAGTGCTAGGCGAAAAAAAATAATTAGTTTATGGCTCGAAATAGCACTTATTAAAGTTCATGGTGCGGGATGAATAATTGGGAATAGTTCATGGTGCGGGATGACACTTTAGCCATTTATTTTAATTGAGTTTTTAGCTTCTGTTTTATACAAAGTATAAAGATTAGAGATATAATAACTTTTTGATTAAATAAGAAAGTAGAAATTATCATATTTCTTTCTTGTTTTAGCCATCTATTCTTCATTAGCTTCTGTTTTATACCAAGTAAAAATTAGAGAATATATAATAACTTTTTGAGTAAATAAAAAAGTAAAAGTTACCAATTCTCTTCAATACAACACTCTCCTCCTGTGTTTTATACAAAGTAAATATTAGATAAGACATAATACGGAGTAACTTTTTTAAGTAAATAAGAAATTAGAAATTACCATCATTCTTTTTCACTTTAGCAAACAACTCTGCAACCTTCTCTTTATTAGCTTCATTTTTATACAAAGTATAAAAATTAGAGATATAATAACTTTTTGAGTAAATAAAAAAGTAAATATTACCATATTCATTCTTCGTTTTAGCAATTTCCTGTTTATACTTGGTATAAAATAGAAGCTAAGAAAGAGGAGATGGCAGAGGAGTTTGCTAAATCGAAAAAGGAATATGGTAATTTCTACTTTCTTATTTTCTCAAAAAAGTTATTCTATATTATATCTCAACTTTTTGAGTAAATAAGAAAGTATAACTTACCAATTCTCTTCACCAATATAGCAATGTGCTCATTTTCATTAGCTTCTGTTTTATACAAAGTAAAAAAGTAATAAAGTAAAAATTAGAGGAGATATAATCTTTTGATTAAATATAAAAGTAAGTTACCATATCTCTTCTTGAAGTAAAGATTAGTGGAGAGATATAATCTTTTGATTAAATATAAAAATAAGTTACCATATGCAGCCGTAAGTCAGTATGACCAAGAAGACCGCTAGCTGCAACAGCGTGAGCCTGTCCTTGAGCTTGAAGTTACTGACAGGTTGCATACATCCTGAGTGTTGTTGCCATCAGGAAAACGCCAAGCACTAACCACAGCTGCAAATAATATTTTTTCAAAGTAATTAGAACTACAAAAGTGCAAATAAATTTTTTTTATTTATCATGGAAGGGGGAGACCCCAAAGAGAACTACAAAAATTCAGACTGTATGAACATTACGCCAAGTATGTATTCCGGCAATGTCATCTTCTATAATGCCCAACAACGGCTCAGGAGGATTATCTAGTACATGAAATTCCTTTGGGAAATTCCGGCTAAGCTTTGCTAGGGTGTCAGCTGCATGATTCTGTTCCCGCGGTATAGCAGCAAGCTCCCAAACTTCTAGTCTTCGCAGTTCCTTCCTACATCCTTCTAGGATGTTGTGTGCAGCCGTAGATGGCTTCCTGATACTGAGCATATATTCCACTAGCATGGTCGAATCTGACTCAAAAATAACTTTCTTACAGCCCATACAGATAGCTAGTTGAATT